GGGGNGGGGGGGCGTTCAGGATTCTGGTTTTCGAGTGCGTCTATGCCGGAACATACAATGAGCTTTCTCATGTCGCACGGTGGATGCGCCGCATCGTCGATGCATACATCGGTTTGCGCACGTATACGCGACCTCGATATACGCGCTCGATAGGACAGATAGCTCTGTATGTGTGCGCGTGTGCGCGTGTGTGTGTGCGCGCGTACGTGCGTGTGTGCATGTGGTGAGCGCTGTTGCGAATGTATACGTATACGCGAGAAGCCTAGGAAAGCCCGGTGCTACAAAGGCAGTGCGCCATCGAGTATCGCAAACATTGATTTGAATCACAAAGACCGCCCGCGGTATCCCATTGTCGGACTCCGACTTATTGTATGTTCTCTCTCTCTCTGCCTTTCTCTATTTCTCCTTTACCTTCAGCTTTCTACGTGTATCGCGCGATCCGCTCTATCTTCTTTCAACGGTAACGACCTATCAATCCACTTATTCCGCACGGTTTATGTGCCACTTGTGGCATTTCGGCCTAATGCCGCTGTTGCGCGGGCAAATCATACGCGCAAGAGGCGTTCTCGTCGATATTTGTGGATGCACACCACCTGTGATCAAACATTGCTTTAATTTGTAACTTATTACACTGTCAAAATACATGACGAAGTTTAAGCGACGATTGCGATGAGTTCTTTATGACAATGATGTAAGTCAATTTCATTTTATTTTTTGAATAATGAGGTAAAGTCTAACATTTACTAAAATAAAACCTGAAATCTCTAAAAACTCTGAAGATGTGAAGTTAACCTTGAAGTGAAGATAGAGAGGTGGTCACCGATACAGTTTTTTTAAAAATCTTGTAAAAAATTTTCATCTAGAAAAGAAAAAAAAGTAATACCCAGAAGTCGTAAATTCTCATTGTTTTTACATTGCTCTACCTCTATAAAGGTGTAACTAATATATGACGTAGTAAACTAGTAAAAAATATAACTGAAAGTAGGATTTTTTTTTTTAAGTATTTTAAGTGTCCCGTTTACCAATTATTTTTAGACCACCTACCTGTAAGGGTAAAGTGATGATAAATGGCTTACTTATTTCGAAAGTGCAAAGATGGTATGAAAAAGATAAAAAAATTGAGTAGGGGTAAAGTCAAGGAAGGGTAAAGTTATAAAAAAAGGTGAAAGATAAAAAATGACATATAGTACCGATTTTTTTATTTTTACAACTTATACGTGGTCATTTGCGTTATGAAAATAAATTTATACTTTTGAAAAGGCTACAAGTCAACATTGATTACAAAAATAATTTTGCTTCTATGTTGAAATCTAATTTCTTGTTTGCGTTTGTTTATTGCATTTGTTTATTGGCATCTCTCTGTCAGCTTTCTACCCGCTGCCAAATGTCGGACGGTTCACGATTTGTTCAAAACTTTTTCCTTAAAAGCGAGTAATAAGAATTTTTTTATAACTTAAATTTATGATTATGACTTTATTTTCACGACATTTCATAAATCGTAATCCATGCAAATAAGTCTACTTAACTTTTAATAAGTGCACAAATATAGTAAGCGAAATGTTTTATCTTAATTGAATTAGCCATTCTTTCGTATCGAGAAATTAAAATGAAATTTTTACGAAATATTTATAGCGGCAATAACATTGACTTATAATCCGTTTATGTAATGCATGTTATATTCAATATTAATTTATGATTAGTAACTTTTGACCATGATTATATGACAGATATAATGTAAGCAATTTGGATTAAAGTAATCCAATTTTTCAGAGATACTATGCAGTTAGATATGTTTTATATTTGTAACACATTTTTCTTCCTGTTATTGTTTCAATCCGATATCATTGCGATAAAAGCTTATCGAGATATCGGATAAACGATTTGTAACTGCGACCAATGCAAACTGCAATTGCACTAAAGATTGTCGTTCTCAAGGACGAATTGCGAAATAATAATGTCATCGCAATCACAATGATCGCGCATCAGAATCGAGAGCACTCTAGATTACTTGCAAAATTGACGTAATTACAGTAATCAAAATGTAGATAAACAATCATTCAATAACAAAGCAATTAGGCTAATTATCTTTTGAGGAAAAAATGCATCTTGAAAGAGGATATTGTAGTGTAGTTTTTGAACGCGTTTGCACGTGCAGCATCGAATTTTGGAGAAGTTGTCGTGATATTTCTTACTTATATCATCGCACAAAATATAGTTTTACACATTTATCTACCACATATACTTTCTCCAAAAGCTGATTCGTCTCGCATCTCTTCTCCTTTTCTTCACGTCTCGCGGCAACAGGTCTCGCAACATGCAGCATGCTGAAACGAAGACGACGTCCAATGAAAGCTCTACGATAATGATTTTAGTGAGCTCTTGATAGATTTTAGCGTCCGACACTACGTGGGATGAGGACAGGAAGTAGAAGAGAGCGGGATCCTTGTTTTACAAATCTTCTTGAATATATCGAGTGATAAAGAACAATGAAATAAAATTTGATATTGATGTTGGATTTTTGAAAGAAGAATTACTATATTACGACGAGAGAGAAAGAGAGAGAAAAGAAAATCAAGAGGAAAGGTGAATTCTCAACTTTCAACGAGAAGAAAAAGAAAAATTTCCGATAAGATAAGACACGTTGCACATGATGTGAATTGCGGGAAATATTACTTGCTCAATCTATCTTCTAATGAAGATCGTGAGAATATTTTTTACAAGATAAAACAGACAATTGATATTTCCTCTAAAATGAGTCATTTTATTCCTATTCGTCATATAGAGAATGTTGCACTACTTGCACTTAATAACAGCGCTACAAGAAATTTCATATTGTATCTTATCTCTCTCCATGAGATTCCTAAATTTTCAAGATTTCATCGCGAGCAACACGCGTATTTGACTTATTTGTGCATTAATGTTGAATGGATATGTAACGCATTACGCGGCTTCAGGTCGTGTGCAAAGGAACATATTAAGGCTCGCGGACACACGTATGCACCGGCGTTGCTCAACGCTACGAACGGCGGCCGCGTAGCGGTACATGCGTCCGACGGGTAGCCGATTTCGCGGCGCGAAAAAGCAAGTAGAGACGTTGCCCGTGCACGAGCCGAGCACGAGAAGGACAGACAGAGAGGAGAGGATGACGGTAGCGTGGGGTAGGGACGAGAAGTGAGGGAAGGGAAACGAGACGTCGGGACTCGGGACCGAGGCATCGTCGCGAGAGGTCGGTCATGTTCGCCGAGTGACGTCACGAAGCAATCCGGTGCCGCCTCCGTGGCGAGCGAGCCGGCCGATTGGTCGAGAGAAATGATGGCAGGCGCGCTTGCCAATCGATTGCCCGCGGTGCGTACAGAACGGAGCGCAGTACATCGGTCGGATATGGTCCCCACTCTACCGCAAAGTAGTAGGAGTCGTGAAGAGGGGAGCACACTGGAAGTAGGGGACGGCCGCCTTCGGCAGGAAGTGAGCTCCGACCCCGAAGCCCAAGGCGTGATACAAAATGCTCAGATAGTTGAGTTCTCTCGTGGAGAGTAGAAGTTGTTTCGCTTCTTCTCTGTATCGGATTGTCGTTCTCGTCCAGCACGGTAGAAGCAGGACGAGCGGGAAAAGAGCAATAGAAAATAAAAAGCACGTTCGTCATACGAACGTGCTTTTAGTCGTGTTACGGTTTGAACCCTTTGCACAGGGTCATTGACGGAAAAGTGCATACACGGGCAAAAAACCAAGATTCTTGAAGGCAGGAACAGTGTTCGTGAACTTGGCTTGGCTGGTTTTTGCATTGATCTGTTCTTCTCACGTTTCTTGTGTCGCACGCGCCGTTTAGGGGGTGCCATCGGCTCATTTCAAAGGAGACCGCCGCTCCGGAGCACTCGCGTTTAGTTGGCGCGTCGTTGCCGCATTGTCGTGACGCGATTCGTCGAACGTACTGTGGCCCGTACTGCCCGTAGCCAGTCAGAGCTGGCTGGCGAATGGCACGGAGTGGTGAGAGACTAGCAGTGAGGGGAAGAAAGTGACAGTGCCAGTCAGTTCTCGTTCGGACTCTGTGGCTCACGGATCGCTCGAGGTTCTCTCCTGTGATTTCAAAAAGTCAGAGGAGAAAAACGAATGAACGTACGTTTTGCAAAACGAAGGACTATACCGATAGTATGACGATCGCGAGTGGTGTTCCCCATCGAGACCGCGTCCGCATGGGGTTTGTCTAGTGAACGATACTCGTGATTAAATTCGGGCGCTGCGCAAAACGAAGATCTATCGTAACTGGTGATACGAAAATCATCGTAGCACGGAATGGTCGTTCATTTCTGCCATAACATTCGGTCGATACGCTCACGCGATCGTGTGATCAATTGATCACACGCCGGTGATCAGGAAACGTGCGCGCGCACTTGACGATCCGTTCTTACGGAGTATCTTAATAGTGATTATTACCAGTGACTTAAAGGATTTGCGATTGATTTTCATGTCATCGCTTTGCGCGAGAAAGTGAATTTAAAGAAGAGACCGATGGTGAACGTGGTTTAAACGACGGGTTATCCACTGGTGATCAATTGACATTTTCGGCGGTCCCGTTGATTTTCTTGACGTCAAACGGTACCAGAAAAGGGCAGCAAACTGTACGGGCACAGGCAGGAAGACATGCACACGATGGAGACGGACATGAAAGGTGGCAGTCTGCATGCTCAGATGCCACCGCATTCGCACCAGGGTGTATCGTCGATGGGTCATCATACGGGGATGTCTTACGGACCTCTGGGCGCTATAGCTCTAGGCTCTCACAGCTCTGCGCTATCAGGAAGTCCACCTAGCGCGGGTAGCTTAGGTCTTGGTCTTCAACATCACCACCAAAGTCCTCAAAGTCATCATTACGCGATCGTCGCCGCAGCCGCTCAACAGCAACAACAGCAACAGAGCATGCACGCAATGGCAGCCCAACAAAGCGCCCAACAACAGCAACACCATCCTCATCAGCAGGCTCAGCAACAACAAACACAATCACAGCAGCATCATCAGGCTAATAATCATAGCAATCCAAATAATCCCAATAACCCCAACAATTCTGCCAACGCTAAGAATAATAATATAGATCGCGTAAAGAGGCCGATGAATGCCTTCATGGTATGGTCGCGTGGGCAACGACGCAAGATGGCTCAAGAAAATCCTAAAATGCATAACTCTGAGATATCAAAACGTCTTGGTGCTGAATGGAAACTGCTCAGCGAATCAGAAAAGCGTCCGTTCATCGATGAGGCGAAGCGGCTGCGCGCCGTGCATATGAAGGAGCATCCTGATTACAAATATCGGCCGCGCCGTAAGACAAAGACCCTAATAAAGAAAGACAAGTACCAGCTCGGCGGAGCTGTTGCTGGCAGTATGCTCGGCGTCGATCAGCGGCAAGTCGGCACCAGCGGCGGACCACAGCAACCGCAGTTGCCGCGCGACGTATATCAGATGCCCAACGGCTACATGCCCAACGGTTACATGATGCACGATCCGAGCGCGTATCAGCAACACGTCGCGTACAGTAGTCACATGGGTGGTGCGGCGACCGCCGCTTCGGCCGTGGCTTATGGCCCCAGGTATGATTCCATGGGCCATCATATGGGTGGCGGCAGTCCCAGTTCTCTCAACAGCTACATGAACGGCTACAGTGGATACGGCGGTACCACCGTACCCGGCGGCTCACCATCACCTTATCATCAGGCTCAACCGGGTTCTCAGATGTCGAGTCACAGTCCTAGTGGAAGCAGCATAAAGTCCGAGCCGACGAGTCCGGCGAGCGGCGGTGGCATACATACGCCGACGCCGACGGGTGGTCCGACGACGACGGGCGCGGCTGGTCCTGCCGGCCAGGCCGTCAAGCGAGAATACATGGGCCAGCAGCAAACGAGCCAACAAACATCAGGCGATCTCAGGCAGATGATCTCAATGTACCTGCCACAGGGCGTCGAGCAGGGAGTCGTGCAACACGGCGGCGGCGTCTACTCACCGGGTCCATCACCTGACTCTTTGACGCAGCACCATCCGACCATGCAGCCGATTGCACACATGTAAGCAAAAAAAAAAGTAGAAACAGCTTCTTCGATTTCACGCAACACTCCTTTTTCTCGCCTTTGCTTTTTGCGAGCTTTTTTGGAAACGTGAAAGCGGGATAAACTGCTACTCGAATTTTCAATTAAGTCTTATTTTTCTGATTACTATTATCTGCACTTTTTTGATAAACATTATGGAATGGCAAATATTTCTATTACAATATTATCATGGATACTACACAGAAAGAACAATTTTGTTAGAAGGTCTAAAAATTTTGCTGGATCTAAAAATAATTCTTATTGGCCCATCAAAATAATTTTGTTGGAAAGTCAAAAATGTAAGTATTGCAAAAACATTTGGATGTGTTAGCAATCAGTTTGACTTTCCAACAAGATTATTTTGATGGTCCAACAAGAAATATTTTCAGATCCGTTTCCTACAAAATCGTTCTTTCTGTGTATGGATAAATTATACCGAAATATTCTTATTACAAAAATGTTATTACTAAACATAATATTTACGTTTAAAGGCCGATTTCAAATGTTTTGGACCAAATAGAAGCTCTCAATCCGGAAAATTCATCTAACTACAACACAATTTACGCAAATTTAATAACCATGTCTCAGAATGAGATAACAATAAATAATACAGAAAATGTTCAGGTAAATATTTATTAATCAGTTTATCCCGTTTAATTTACGATTTGCTTGAATTATAATAACGAGAATCATTGATGATCTTCCCGAATGTCATTTGAAGATCATAGATCTCGTGAAATTTATCATTCGAATAATATTATCGGAGTTTACAGGAGATTCGCATTATAATTTGTATTATATATATATATATATATATATATATATATATATATGTATATATAAAAGATGTTTTCTTTTTTATTTGATACAATTTTTTTATTTAATTTCTAATTTATTTTTTAACTTCTCATTTATTCCAAATGTTACTAAAAGTTTTCGATTTTACACTAAAAGTTTTTGGACTTGCTATTTTATTATTGCTGTACATTTTATAAAAATTTTTATTTTTTTAATGTAAATTGTTTTATTATGTATTTCTTGGCTTTAAATCAAATTGATAGCAAGGATCTCCTGTATTCCGCAGTAATTCGTGAGTGTCGTGTTATGAATGCTCCGTTCAAGAATTATTTCCTTCCTATCAAACGAGCATGCAATATAAATATCTCTTTTTTTCCAATATATTCTTTATCAAAATATATTTAATATACTCTTCTCTAGTATATATTCAATACATTTTTACATTTATATATTTCATGACGCGAACACTCACGTTTTTCTATTGTTAAAGCAAATGATAATATTGCATATGCCATCGTGACGACGCTTCTGGACCCTCTATTATCACACTCCAATTAACTACTAAAACGGTGATCTACGACTCGCTCGTTTTTATATCGGAAATTTGTAACTAGTTGCTTATTCGCGCACGATTATTACTATTTCAAGAGTTAGTAAGGTGGAACTTGTAAGATATCATTATTGTAGAAAATTATAGACTAGCGTGTCGAGCCGACAGGCAGGGAAGAAAGCATGATACGTCGATTTATACCTTGTAGGTGCAAAAACCTTGCGCGCTCGATAAAATATGATTATGAATTTTACTAAAATAATTAAACATTCGAGAAAACTATCACTACTGAGGCGAATAAAGTTGGATTTCTGCACTTAGGCGCATGTAAAATCCAACACATCTAAATTTTCTTAGCTGGAAATTATTCATCGAAACGTGATTTATATTTAGTTATGCGTTCTCTTTCTGCAAACTATTAAGATATAGAATTTTAATCGTCACCCTTTGAGCATCTCTTATATAGAATATTTGTTCCCGCACTTAAAGAAATAATCTCCCGACTACAAATTATAATACAATTGATAGCAATTTATAATAAAGTTGATGGAAAGACATATTATGTTTGGTAAAGGTTTGTAGTATACGAGATTTATAATGGATTTATACAGTACACAAGGAATTTATATAGTGCTTCGTTGATATATCGAAATTCAGATCCAACATTCTTCGTTTGTCTTCGTGTATTATACTCATCAGTCATCACACACTATTCAAATCAGTTCTAAATTTTCTTATAATTCTCTTTCTCAGATATCATTTATATAATAAATTATCATTTTATTATAAATTTTAATCGTATTTATTAAACATAAAATACAGAGTATAACACAGAATACAAAGATTTGTGTGATTTTTTGTTAGAATTTTTAAATAATTATTTATAAATCATGTGATCATCTCCAGTTCGGTAACTATCATTTTTATCCATCTTATTTCTTTTCATTCTTTTAATTTTTTTTAATTCTTATTGTTAATTATTATTAATTAGTATTTTTTATATTCAAGTTATGTTATTTATATAAAATACATGATAGAAATTTTAAAACGTAGATATCGCATTATTTTTAATGTAGGGTCCAGAATGAAGCAGAGTTCACGATACCATATGTTTAGTTTGAGGCTTAAATTTACTTTCCTCTGTGAATTTATTTCTTTTCTTTGTTACTTCTTTTTATTTTTGCCTTTATTATAAATGTTTTTATCAAAAATTATATTTTCATTTGCGAGAGTAAATATTGAGTTTAATTGGAGTTTTGACATAGGTTGAGTCATAAAACCATCGAAATTATTATTCAGAAAAATAGTTTTATTTTTGACATCTTTTTTTACGTTGAATCTTACGTTTTTTTAAGTAATATCACGACAATTCCACACCAACTCACACTTGGATAGCATTTTACTCTATTATGATCGCCGAATAATCACGAAGGTTTCATCTGACTCATCCTATCTCTCTGTCGATTAACGGACAGCTAGAGCTAGAAATTTAACAAACGTTTTTTTACATCTGCCTCAATCTAACATAAAACATGACGTCGTAGGAACCTTGTAGCTTAAAGAAAGAGAAAGAGGCAAACTCGGAAGGAGACCTGTACCATTGGTTGGAAGCTTGGTAGAAAGTAAAGGAAAAAGTAAGAGAGAAGGAGAGAAGAAAAAAGAAAAAGTGAGAGAAGGAATGCGAAATATAGATAAAACGCATAACGAGAGAGAGAAAGAGAGAAGGGAGGAGAGACGAAGGAAGAAGAAAAATAAAAAATAAAACAAATATTAAAAATAATTTTCACGGTGCCATGAGAAAGACGAATACAAGTTTCAAAGCACAATACATAATCGTATTCTACATATATTACTATCTTGTTAACATAGAAATTCTCATTGGAATAAGTTTTAATTCAAGAATTTACGAATGACAATGCGATAAATATCTATTTTATATATAGATTTTTACAGATTTTACATTATGTATATCATTATGATTGCCGGTGTAAATGTATCTTTGCCAAGAAAAAATCGTTCTATTTCCTGCAAATTCTATTTCTACGTTCTATTTCTCTTGTAAAGACTAAAATTATTTATCACCAACACATACACTTACAGATACTTTCTTTGGAGTATGGTAATGGTGTTGGTAGTATATACACTTATAAATACTCCCTTTGAAATATGAGGCCGTCCTTATATTACGTAAGCATATTTTTGGCCATTTTTGATCCTCTCCTCCCCCATGTAAGCAAATGTTAGAATTTCTGAAACCCCTCCCCCCTAATTACGTAAGATTAGAAGACATTTTCGCGATTATGCTTGATGTAAAGTTAATATTGCTTGTTTTTCATGACAGCAGCAGACATGAAAAATCTTACGTAAGGATATGTACGATCCCCCCCCACCCCTATATAATTATTTGTCAGATTTTGACTGCCCCCCCCCCCCTCCTCTCAGTCATGCTTATGTAATATATGGATGGCCCCTATGTGTGGACCACTATTCCATATTCTATGCGTATTTCTATGTTACATTTCTCTTATAAGAACCAAGAAGATTACGTGTTACGAAAATATCGAATCATATTTGTCTCTCTTTTTCCCGTGAAAATTTTGTCTTGGAGCTATGTTTTTCTCACTCTCACTCTCGGTATTCGAAAGGCCTTGACTTCGCTCACATTCGCATTTCACGAAAGATTCTCTCCATCATCATCCATGCTGCGCATTATCATCGATCGCGACATCCCTATTTGGCGTCGATAGGGATATCCACGAAGACATTCGACATGTGCAAGATGTGAATAATACGTTATGCAAGTATGTTTTCACGGAATGGAATTCACGTTATCAAAGAGAAATTTTATATGACTGGAGAGAGAGTAAGATCGCAATAATATCAATTCCATTTGGTATCGGATCCCGATAACAGGTTAACTGTACTTACCTGCAAGTCCAGTTAACTAAGTCTTATTAACATAGGATTATGTTTATGTATTTTTTGTTAAAAATGACAACTGACGTTATTATTAGAGATCGCGAAAGCCTTTACTTGTCTCAACTTCCATTTCAACCTCGAACGTCACTTAGACCTTTAATTTTTGCAATAATTATTATTTTGCTAAAAAAGAATTATTACAATTTCTCATGATTTCTCTAAAATGAAATAAACTTATGAATATTCAATAAGTTAAGCTTCTTAACTTTTAAAAGTAAATTTCTTATTGACGAAAGACATATTCTGAATTAAATGTAATAAAAAATATTTTTTTCACATACCATTATTTTATCCAAATTCATTAGCATATGTAAATGTATGTATTAACAGCTATTTGACGTATTATTATTATTATTATTTTAGCATATTTTATTATTTCGGTAAAAAAAGAAGTCATCGCGATTTCCCGCGACTTCTCTAAAAATCTATCTATGAAAATAAACTTATGAATATTCAATAAGTTAAGCTTTTACTTATTAAGAGTAAATTTCTATCTTGACTAATGATACAGTCTGAGTAAATTGTAATAAAAAAATATTTCTATGGACATATACTAGTAATACTAGTATTTTTTCAAACTTGTAAAAAATTGTTGCGAGAATATGTAAATATATGCATTGCAAAATATACAAATTAATAATAAATAATCATA